TTTTTTTTCTCTCCTCCTAAAACACAGCTTTTGCTTGCTCCCTCGGCTACACTCCCAACAGACTGAAAACAGACAGTTCTCAGCAAGGACTGGAGTCTGTTCTCAAACATTCTGCTCACTCCACTACATTTACAAAAAAGAAAACCCTGCTGGGGAATTTATGAGCATTTTCTTGTCAGCAGTAACGGGAGGCAACGATCCTTTCCAAGCTTCCAAGAAAGCCAGCAAATACTAGGATTATTATTTCCCTTACGTGTCAGCAATAGGAAGGCAGGATTGGAGAGATAAGGAGAAACAGCCCTGAACTTTGAAGGACGGAGGAGTTACCCTGGATCTGAACCCTTGCCTTTGCCTGACACATATGCCAAGAGGCTGCTTGATTTTCATTTTCATGGCTGAGCGGGGGATTCGAACCCTGGTCTCCAGAGCCATAGTCCAATACTCAAACTATTAGACCATGCCAGATTCGGGTGTTTCAGAGTCTGAGATAAACTGCCCTTGTGCAAGAGGATCCACATTATGGTCAGAACAGACCTCCATAGGATGAGAGCCAGTGTGGCATAGTGATCTGAGCATTGGACTTTGATGCTGGAGAGCAGGGTTCAAATGCCCACTTGGCCATGAAAACCCACTTGGGCAAGTCGCACTCTCTCGGCCTCAGAGGAAACCCCCTCTGAACAAATCTTGCAGAGAAAACCCCATGATAAGGAGCCTTAGGGACGCCATGAGTCGGAAATGACTTGAAGGCCCACAGCAGCAGAGGGTGAACTAGAGAAAGGTCTCCACTGGGATCCTCTGACTCATTGGGATCAAACAGATCCCTCTGTGGAGCCAAATGAGTCAAATCCCATTGCAGACTCCCCACGTTGGAAGACTGGCTTGGTCAAGTTGGGGCATGTGTTTCAGCACCATGGATAGCTCCTTTGTCCCCACAGCCCGGGTGTGTTCAGCACCTTGGAGAGCTCCTTTGGGACTCTCTCATGTTCAGCACTTTGGAGAATTGCTTTGAAATAAAACCAGGAATGGATTCACTGCTCCACTGACATGGAACCCACCACCCATCATGAGTTGTCTGTATTCCCAAAGACACAAAGAAGGAACCTTCCTAGGATCATTCCCACGCCAGGCAGCCCTTTTGCACTCAACTAACCCCCCCCACCCAAAAAAAATGTTTAAGCATTCATTCCTCCTTCTCTTTCTGCAACTCGAATGATGTCAGAGCAGGAGCCAAAGCCTTGGAGGGCAAAACAGCCAGGAGCTTGAAAAAGTTTTCTACAAAGGTAGAAGCCTAAGCCGGTAAAGCCATCTGCTTTTCTCAGTGGGAAGATCTAGTCTCCCTTGTTTTTATTTGGTTGCCTCCTCCTTTTTTTCTGTTTAAAGGGAGGAAGGGGGGGGGTCTGGTTTCATCTCTGATGGTGGAAGGGGAGAGAACAGCTGAGAAGGAAGGGAGTTGTTATTATGACTATTGTTATTGTTATTGCTATTGTTTTTATTTTATATCCTACCTTTCTCTCAAGATAGGGATTCAAGATGGCAGGGCAGGTCTTTGGAGAAGGCGTTTCACACATAAGGGACATTGCGGAAGGATGGATGGAATTGAAAGAATGGGTCCAGATGGTCCAGATGGTCACCAACCAAAATGGTGAAGGGTCTGGAAACCATAAAGCCCTATGAGGAACAGCTTAGAGAACTGGGTCTGCTTAACCTGGAGAAGAGACGGCTAAGAGGGGATATGGTAGCCCTCTTTAAATATTTGAAGGGAGGTCATATTGAGGAGGGAGCAAGCTGGTTTTCTGCTGCTCCAGAGAATAGGACCCAGAGCGATGGACCCAAACTCCAGGAGAAGAGATTCCACCTCAACATTTGGAAGAACTTCTGGATAGTAAGAGCTGTTTGATAGGAGAACATACTTCCTCAGAGAGTGGTAGAGTCTCCTTCTTTGGAGGTTTTTAAGCAGAAGCAGGATGGCTATCTCTTGGGAGTGCTTGGATGGAGTCTTCCTACATGGCAGAATTGGGTTGGATTGGATGGTCCTTGGGGTCCCTTCCAGCTCTATGCTTCTATGAGGAGGAGGTCCATGGAGGGGAAGTTCTATATATAAGGGGCAACGAGGGACAAGACATTTTAAACTATCAATTTCTAAATTGCAAATCCCCTCCCAGAAAAATGGGGGGGGGTTTAACTCCTGCACCTTCTGCAATAGGCCAAAATGACCGTATGGTGAGCCCTTGCAATCCACTGAAGTATGGACCTCCTGGGGATACTAAAATCCAGGGAGGCTCAAGTCCCATGAAATGCAATGGCACAATAAAACGGTATCCTGTATATAAAATGGGGGGTTTGGAAGGAGGTTTGGAATTTATATCTTTTTAAATATTTTAAAGCTGTGGATGACTGAAGCCATGGATGAAGCATCTGTGGATAAGGAGGGCCAACTCTATTTTGTCATTCCCACACTCCATCTTCGCCATGAGCAGCTCTTTTGTAAAGCAAATAGCTCTCAACTGTCCAGTTTTCCAGCCCTTAGTCCAAAACACACTGCAGAAATCATCCAGTGTGAGATCACTTTAACTGTTCTGGCTCAGTGCTAGGGAATCCTGGGAATTGTAGTTTATTGTGGCCCCAGAGCTCTCTGACAGAGATGTCTCAATGTCTCACAAAACTACAGTTTCCAGAAATCCCTAGCATTGAGCCAGGGCAGTTAAAGCGGTCTCAAACCGGATCATTTCTGCAGTGTGTTTTGGACCCTAGAGACATAACTAACAGGGCCTATGCTGGAGGTTGCAACCTTCTCCTCCTCATCCTTTTTGATTTCTTCTCTGCTCCTTTATTGGGTTCTATAGATGAGAAAAGAAGGGACAGGGAAAGGGATGGAGCCAGATCCGGGTGGGAATGATCCATACCCATCAAAGAGAGGGACGGCTTGACTGTTGGGTGCTCCAGACTCAATGCAAGAATGAGTCACCTTGCAAGAGTTTTAACCACACAATTGGCACCTGGTTGGCAAGGAAGCTCTATGACTAATCCTGTTACTTCATTTTCAGGTGAAGGGATGGGATTGACGATCAAGATCACAATTAGCGTGGCCTGTTTATTGATTTCATCCATTTCTATCCTATCATGAGAAATAACTTGAAGGCACACAACAATAACAGCAACAACAACATTACATCCAGGTTGTGGGTAGCCGCCTTGAGTCCCTATATTGGGAGAAAAATGGGATATAAAATTATTATTATTATTATTATTATTATTGTTATTGTTATTACAGTCAACCCTCCATATCCATGGTCTCTTTATCCACGAATTCAGCCATCCACAGCTGGAAATATAAATTCCAAAAAGCAAACCTTGATTTTGCCATTTTATATAAGGGACAGCATTTTACTCTGCCATTGTATCTAATGGCATCTGTGGATTTTGGTATCCCCAAGGGGTCCTAGGACCAAACCCCAGTAAATACCAAGGGCCCATTGTAATAATGATAATGACAATGATAATGATAATGATAATGATAATGATAATACCCCATTGTTTTGAATGGGAGTTGAAGATCCACAGATTTTGGTGTCCATTGATGATCCTGGAAAGAAACCCCAGCAAATACCAAGTGCTCACTGTAGTAATAATAATAATAATAATAATAACAATAACAATAACAATAATAATAATAATAATACCCGATTGTATATAAAGGGACTTGAGCATCTATGGATTTTAGTATCCATGGTGGGTCTTGGAACGAAACCCAAGCAGAGACACTAAGGGCCCACTGTGTTTATTATTATTATTATTATTATTATTATTATTATTATTATTATTATTATTATTATTATTATGGCAAGTGTTGTCTGATCTGTTCACACCAGCACCAGGTTTGGCGCCCCAT